CCCTCCGCTCTCACCCCTGAGTGTGAAGATTGTCACCGGCTGGGCTGGAAGGAGAGGAATCCCCTGGGGGAAGCCCTGCCCTTTGGTTTTTATTTCGGTAGATGTAGGGCGAGGGGTTATCTTGGGGAAAGAACTCAGAAAAACCGGGTGGGGAGAAGCAGCTTTTCATCCCGTTTTGATGACCGGGCGGCATTCGCATTCCAAATGTTTTTCTCTTCCTTCCAGAAATAAAACGCCTGCATTTGCATGCTGCCAGTCAGCTGGTTACGCTTTTTATAGCAAAAACACGTTTGGAAGGTTTGACACTGAATTTATTACGCTTCCTCGGGAGCTGTTTCCCATCTGAGCCGTCGCTGTTAGCGCCGTTGTCCTGCTGGGAATTGATTTTGTTCCTTTTCCTTCCCTTCAGCTCTTCCAGGTGCCCGAACGGTGACTACTGCTCCAACAGGCGCTTCCAGAAGAAGCAGCACGCCGATGTCGAAGTGATCCTCACCGAGAAGAAAGGCTGGGGGCTCAGGGCTGCCAAAGATCTGCCATCGTAAGCCTTCGCCCTTCCAGTGACGCCTTCGGGCTGTTTTACTCCCTCGCGAAGGGAAAACGAAGCTGCTCGTTTGTTCTCGCTTCGGTAGATTTGCGGAGGTTGTTCCAGCTTCACGTACCGTCCCTGTCCTCCGTCAGGTGTCCCTCGTAGTTATCGGCCCCCGCTAATTGCGTGTTGGATCTCCCGCTCCCGTTTTTTCCTCTTTCCGTTAGGGTTTCTGGCGCTCTTGCCGTGGCTTCAGCTTGTGTTTGTCTTCCCTTCTTTGTCTCCACTACATGATGCGAGAGGAGCAGACGCTCTCACAGAATCACAGAATGTTCGGGGTTGGAAGGGACCTCTGAAGATCATCCAGTCCAACCTTCATCCCAGCACACCCAACCACTACACCACAGCCTCAAGTGCTAGATCTGCTTTTTTTTTAAACACCTCCAGGGTTGGTGACTCCACCACCTCCCTGGGCAGCCTGTTCCAGTGCCTCACCACTCGTTCAGGAAAGAACTTCCTCCGAATATCCAACCTAAACTTACCCTGACGCAACTTGAGGCCATTTCCCCTTGTCCTGTCATTAGGAATTAGAGAGAAGAGACCAGCACCAGCCTCACTCCAGCCTCCTTTTAGGTAGTTGTAGAGGGCAATAAGGTCTCCTCTCAGCCTCCTCTTCTCTGGTTGTTTCTCCTCTTCTTCTCTTCCCACCTCTGCAAGACTCCCTTTTTCTTGCATCCTCCTCCCCTTTGGACTACCCAGAGATCCCATGGAGATCTTTCCTCCCTCATTACCTGTTGGTACCTCTACTTGGGAGCGCTGGCTGTGCTCACAAAATCTGGGTTTGACTCGTCTCTCTCTCACTAAAGCCGAGTCTTACTTGCCCGTTGGGCCTGGCTCAAGCGCTTTTCTTTGCGCTGCCTGGCACCAAGGAGCTGGTGACCCCGTCGGCATCAGGACGGACGCCGATATTTTTGGGTTTACGGTCCTGTGTGGAAAGGGCCGTGCTCAAAAAGCGAGCGTGGCTGGGAAGAAGACGAGTGCTGGGTGTGTTTTGTGTGTGCGGGCAGCAGGGCTGTGCCGGGAACGCCTTCGCGTGAGCCGGCGAGGTAAGTCAAGGAGTTGCCTCCTCCCTCGCTGAGCCGACACTTTCTCATACTCCCAGTAGTAAGAAGAAGTAGTAAGTAGTAAAAAGAGCTTTAGGTGAGGCCATGAGAGGAGCAAGGATGTTCGTTGAACATCGTGCAAAGATTGTCAGTAAGTCTGAGCGTTTGAGGGAGTGGAAACTCTTTTTATTTTGGTTTTTTTTTTTGCTTCTGTTGGAGACAAGAGAGTTCTGAGGAATGGGGCGACGTTTCTGACACGTAAGAAAGCCGTAGCTCTTGCAGCAGCGTTTTTTTATCGCTGTATTGAACGTATGAGACGTCATTCACAGGAAGATAGTTCTGTTGCACAGCAGCTGTATCCAAGAGGAGCACGAGCATCGCGGCATTTTCGGGCTCCTGATTTTCCAGCTTTGCCAGATAATTTGGGATGTCCCCGGTGCTATTGGACTTAACCTTTCCAAGAGCAGCGTCCCGTTGGTTTTGGAATTAACGTGCACACAGGGAAGCGGCAGCTTTTCCCTGTGGAAATACCAGGTCTGGTTTTAGATAAAGTTTGAGGATTTTCTTCTGAAGGCAAGGTCTGGGAGGTTCTAGTGAAGCCGTGGCTCGTAGCAAAGAGCTCGCCAGAGCGAGAGTCGCGTCTGTTTGGTGGGACTGGAAATGTTGAGAAAGGTGGGAAGGAGATACCTGTGTGAAGACTTGTCGTGGGTAAGAGGGTAAATCAATCAGTTAGAGCAGCAGAAGCATCTCCTGCACTTGGCCTGAGTGTCTCAAGGGGTTTGGATGTTGTTCCTCAACGGAAGGACAAAGAAGCTGGGGAAGGGTCTGGAGAACAAGTGTGGTGAGGAGCAGGTGAGGACCTGGGGTTGTTCAGCCTGGAGAAAAGGAGGCGGAGGAAAGACCTTCTCGCTCTCTATAACTCCCTGACAGGAGGTTGTAGTGAGGAGGAAGGTGGTATCTTCTCCCAAGGAACCAGTGATAGGATGAGAGGAAATGGCCTCAAGTTGCACCAGGGGAGGTTTAGATTGAATATTAGGAAAAATTTCTTTACTACAAGAGTGATGAAGCGCTGGCACAGGCTGCCCAGGGCAGGAGTGGAGTCCCCATCCCTGGAGGTGTTCAAAAAACATGTAGACGTGGCCCTTGGGGCTGTGGTTTAGTGGGTTGATGGTTGGACGTGATGATCTTAAAAGTCTTTTCCGCCCTTAATGATTCTGTGAGGCTGAGGAGGCATCCGGGAGGAAGATAGGGGCTGACTTCCGAGCTGAAGGGACTGATTGGTGGATCAGAACCCTTTTTTAGGTGAAGGCGGAGATGGGAGAAGATGGGACATCGTTTGTACGTGTGGGCTGGCGGGCCAGCACGGTGCCGTGCGAGACGCTGGATTGAATAACGGGAAGGAAACGGGAGGAGCGATGGCTGCTCGTGCAGGTGGAGCCGGGCAGGAGCTTTTGCTTTCCCTGAGGAAGGAGTTGAAGGGTTCGGGGCGATGTTGAGCGAGGGAGAGCTTGGGACAGGTACCGAGAAGGCTGGATCACCGTGCCTCTTAGTAGCCCGGAGGGTTCAGAGCCAGGCCGGGCTGTGGGATGCGGTCGGTGAGGTGAGTGCGGGGGTTTGCAGGTTGTTCTCATCCATCTCTGCTTTTCCATTCACCTTTCCTATGATTAAAAACGGATATTTTATGGATCTCCCTTTTCACTTTGGCGAGAGCCACCTTCCAGCACCTTCTCTTAATACTCCTTATGTTCCTCTTTGCAAGGTCTCGTTCTATTACAGAATAAACCCTGCTCGAAGGGGAGCTTCCTTCTTGTGGCTGAGTGATAAAACCAACCCATGAGATAGCATGAAAAAATAAATAAATCAAATTTCCTGAGCTAAAGGCATGACCAGGCTGCGAGTTGTTTTCAGAGAGCTCCCCTCGGCAGCGTTTTCTGTTTCATGCCGAGCGGAGTGATGCTTTTCTTTTTCCTCCTGGGTTTTTGCAGCAACACTTTTGTCTTGGAGTACTGCGGCGAAGTGCTGGACCACAAAGAGTTCAAGGCTCGCGTGAAGGAATATGCCCGCAACAAGAACATTCACTATTATTTCATGGCCCTGAAGAACGATGAGGTGAGCGCTGTGACTGTTGGGCTTTGGGACGCTTTGGCTGGTTCCTTAGAACCCTCTAAGCAATGTCCTGAACCTTTTAGAAATATTTTTTTTCTACTTTTTTTAAGCTATTGCTCAGTTTCAACCCGGTTTAGCAGAGGTCTGGTAGCTTAACTCTATCCCAGCGTCCTTGGGGAGGAGAAATTGTCCTCCCTACTTCAAGCCAAACTCACCCTTCTTGGATGCCCACGTAAATCAGTGTAGAAGACCCACCCCAAACCCATCCTTTCTCCCCTTGCCCACAGAGCTGCCTTAAATCGGGGGCACTTGTGGAGTCTCGTAGGTGCGGGGTTTTTCACTGAAATATTGATGTACCAGAAGTCCGAATTCTTCACCTCTGCTTCAGCTCTCTGGGCTCGGGGAGCCGCGACACAGCCTCGCTTCCCTGGGGCGACGGGCCCTTCGTTGCTGCGAACAAAGCGTATAAATAGAAATTTAATCGCAAATTCTGCTCGTCTCTTCTGCCACAACTTTTTGGGGCTGGGTAGCTTTACAGTAAACGAGCTAAAAATACTTGAGAGTGCTTTTTTCCCCTCTTTTTTTTCTCCCCCGCCCCGAAGCAGGCAATTTGTGTAGCTGCTTGGAATTGTTACGCGGTCGCAAGGGGGCACAGAGGAGCGTGTCCAGATAGAAGAGGGAGGATGTTGTCGAGTAGACGACCTCTTTATTCTAGAACGAAGCATGTGGCAGAGGTGTTGGCCTTCCGCAGCCCACGTGGTCATCGTAGCGCGTGGCAGAGAGTCACAAACAGACTGAAAAAATCAGGACCCCGTTGAAGCACTCTCAGTTAACCGCAGTGAAACCACGTTACGTGGTTCTCTTCCAGTTTTGGGGTGTTCTTCTCTTTTGGGGACGTTCTAAAACCCGTTCTCCAAACCAAACGAAGTCGGTAGCTGGAGCAGGGAAGGACGATGTCCTCTACACGGGTTGTGGTGTCCGTAACTCTTATTTCAGCCCGGTGCCGTGTCTCGTGTTTCTTTTCTTTGCAGATAATCGATGCTACTCAGAAAGGAAACTGCTCTCGTTTTATGAACCACAGCTGTGAACCAAACTGCGAGACACAAAAGGTAAAAAAAAAACAACCCAAAACAACACACGGTGCTGGATCAAAGCCCCAGGTTTCTTGCTGCCACCACCTCGCGACTTAGCGAGCCGGGAGTGAAAAGTGTTTCTCCTTTACGTCTCTTTGTTGTTGTAACTCAGTGAGATGGGAACAACCACCTTGAAAATGGGCAAATCCTGCTGAGCCAGTTAACAAACTTTAAATTTTGAAGGATTGGTTTTGTTCTTTTAAAGCAAACCTGGAGCCAAGCCTGATTTTTTGGTAATAACTTGTCATCTTGTTTGTTTTTTTATCCCTCGCTTTAGTGGACTGTGAATGGGCAGCTCCGAGTTGGGTTTTTCACCACGAAACTCGTCCCGTCGGGCTCCGAGCTGACGTTCGATTACCAGTTCCAGAGATACGGGTACGTTTGGACTCTCTCTGCTTAAGATGCCGGAAGCGGGGTTAAAAAAAAAACCAACCCTGCCCTGAAAGAAACTGCTGCAAAGCCTCCTCTAACGGAGCGGGCGTAAACGAACTGGAATTGAGCCGCCTAAAAAATCTACCTGGGTAAAATTCCTTCCGTTTCTGCCACAAGAGGTTGGGAGAGGAATTCCCCGTTGATTTAAGACGTCCTTTCCGGCCTTATTGCCTTTTTGTTCCGTTTCGTGCCGTCTCTCCCTGGTGGAACTCGCCCAGATTATTACCTTGGCTGGTTCTTTCCCCCGTCTAATTATAATTACCCAAGCTCCAGGCTTTGCGGGACCCTTCAATGGTGCCTCTTCTTCCCCGCCCACCCCTGTTTTACGACTTTGCGAATGCTTGTGGGGCTGTAAAACCCGACAGATAGCATCTTCCCTCTTCCTGCCCCGCTCCAGAACCGCAGGTGTGCAAGCTCCGCCGTGGGCTCTGGCTCCCTTCTTTCAACTTGAGCCTAATATTTTTATTTTACTGCTCGCCCCGGTGCCTGCGATGAGCACAAAATAGTGTCCGACAGGCTCGAAGCAACGTGTAATTATGAGATCAATTTGGAGATCCCTTTTATAATCCCCAAGCGAGGCCGGTTTGATTTTTAGGCACGTGGGGACGTCTCTAAAGCTGGAGAATGTCACATATTGCACGCTCTGTATGCCCATAATGTTATTTTTATCCATATATGGCCCTGGTTCTTCACGCTGGTTGTGCAGAGCCATGTCCCTCTGGTGGGTTATGCACATAAAAATAAAAAAACACCAAAAAAACCAAACACAAACATCATCTGAGCAGTTTAGTTTAAAAAGTTGTAGTGTATCAAGTAGAAAAATGTGAGGCTTCCTGGAAATATTGCCTGGATATCATATAATTGAAATCTCTTCATCACTCCATGGCCGTGTATTCGAACAGAAAAACATCTTTTGTGTGAATCTTAGTGCTTCCACGAATCCTCAGCCTCTTCTTTATTCTGTTCCGAGCTACAAAATGCCATTTTTCCCCCTAATGGATATATAACCCTGACTATTCATTAAGAGAACAAATGTGTTTTCATTATATATTCATTATTTTTGAATATATATTCATATGTGTTCATATGTATTAATTGAGAAAGGGAATATATAACATACATTGCGTTACGCTGCATCATATATTAATTAAGAAAATAAATATAGTGATCGCGACGTGTGGTAAGAAGTTCGCAGAACCAACCGCTCCACCTTTTCCTTTCTGGTTCCTGGCTCTTGACCTCCAGAGAGCAGAGAAGTAAAGCAGGTTTTGGTTTTCCAGCCGACACAACGTGGAATCGCGGTCCCTGCGTACGAAATAAAGACTTTTTTTGAATTTTCAGTGGCCGGAAAGGCCGTGCCGTGCAGAGACGTTCCTGTCCCTTTCCTCTGAGGAGGAAGGTAAAATAACTGCCCCTTTGCTTGTCCCCACTGACAGCAAGGAGGCTCAGAAATGTTTCTGCGGCTCCGCCAACTGCCGGGGCTACCTGGGGGGAGAGAACAGGGTCAGCATCCGAGCCGCCGGGGGCAAGATGAAGAAGGAGCGCTCCCGTAAGAAGGACTCGGTGAGTCGGCTTCTCCTTTGTTCTGTGGGTTTTTTGCGGGTTTTTTTTTTAATTTCTCTCTAAGAGTAGGAGCCACCAAAGGGTTGATCCTCTCTACATCAGTCCTCAGGTCCCCTCTGTCATCCTCTTCATCACTGACTCGTGATGACACCAAAGTTTGGATTTTTCCATGGCTGTAGTTGTGTCATTTTGTTTCACAGGGACTGTCAATCCTCTTGTTTTCTTGGACCCTTAAATCTGTGTTTCCTTTCTCTGCGTTACTCAGCACCAAGTCCCAGCAGAGAAGGGGCTTTAACAGGCACATGAGCTCTGCGTGCTGCTGAGAAGCGGAGGGAATTCTGAATTTTAAAAATGCATTTGCGCTGCGTGATTTTGAAACGTCGGTGGAAGTCGGGTGGTTCTGGCTTCACCGTTGAGGACGTTTCTTGAAATTTAACTGCTGAATCCTAGAATGGCTGGGGCTGGAAGGGACCTTCAAGATCATCTGATCCAACCTCCCTTAACCAGCTCAGGTTGCTCCAGGCTCATCCAACCTGGCCTTGAGCATCTCCAGGGAGGGGGCAGCCACAGCCTCTCTGGGCAATCTGTTCCAGAGTCTGGCCACCCTCGTACTGAACAATTTCTTCCCAAGATCCAGTCTAATCCCATTCTCCTGCAGTTTAAACCCATTTCCCTTGTCCTGTTGCTGGACATTCTTGTACAAAGTCCCTCCCAGCCTCCCGGCAGGTTCCCTTCAGGTGTTGGCAG